TGAATTCTTCTTTTTCCCCAAAAAACAACTCACTCAAATCTCTTTTTTCCCAAAATCAGCTCATTTTAGGGATGGCTGTTCTACCAACTTATCATCTATGGTACAGCTTTCAGAACTTACTACTTCCAGCTCCATATATACCTCTGTTTCCCAGTTTTGCCGGTATTCAGCAGACGAGCGAAGAAAATCTAGGTAATTCCTATTCTCTTTCCTTCTATTTCGAGCTGCAATTTTTTAGTTTTAGTTTGATGACTGAGCTGCAAATTTTAGTTTGAGCAACTAATTTTAGTTTCTGTCAATTTTTCAGTCAGCATATTAAGTTGCAATTTTTAGTTTGATGAATGTTCTTACCTTCTGTTTATTTATTTATATTTATTTCCATGTTCTTACCTTCCGTTAATTAAAGACTGCCATGTGTTTGATATTATACATAAAAGAATAATTATGATGCTATTTTTTCGATTAGGTTACGTTTACTTTTTTTCTCTGTTTTTATATTATTTTCAAATGCTGCCGGACTTTTGCCAACATTCAGGCGAGCAAAGAAAATATATGTATGTTTCTATTTTATCACCTTCTATTTTGAACTGCAAGTTTTTTTTCACTGTTGTTGCCTCTGTTTATTGCTTTCTCTTAATTAAGGAATGCGATGTGTTTGATGTTATGCTATGATAGTTTACTTTTCCCTCTGTTTTTTATTTCAAATGTTGCATGATGCTGTTAGCTGCTTATCTATTCAATAATTACATCATTTAGTATCATTGTCCTTTGGCTTATTAAGGTTGTCATTTTATATATATTACTTAGTTTTAGCTATTCTAGGATGCTTTGATTCTGTCATTTTGTGTGCCTTTGGATTAGCATCTTGCTTTGTTTATAATAAAATTACATTTTGATTTTTTGTGTTTCAAAATGAAAAAAAAAAAAAAAAAATTTAGTACAGGTTTTAGATTGATAGATGAGATGTTTGATGATTCCCCTGATCTAAGAATGTTGGAAAGAAACAAAAAGACAAACTTAAATATGCTGACTGAGCATATGAAGTTTAGTCTCGATTCTTCTGTTTATGAGCCATATTCTCCTTTTACTATCAACTGTGAGAATGACATTCGTGAAAACCACTTTGTTGAAACATGTGCTTCACAAAATCACATCGATAGGAACCTAATTCTGCCGAATGACTGCAGAGGTAAAAATGTTTGGTTTCCTTCAGAAAATATTGGAGGAATTCATTATACCTCTGATTCTATTGACAATCATTCTTTGCTCCCAATCAATTCATCTTTAATTAATCTGTCTGATGTTCAGCCTGCTGGTTCATCACAAGTTAACTGCAATGAGCAATCATTTGTTATAGAAAATCAGTTTCAGAGTGAGCAAGTCACAAATGTTAAAGGGAGAAATGTTTGTTCTGAAATATCAGGCCTAAACATGCAACTAACTAATTATACTCCTCCCCTCTTTGTGAATAGACATATACCTATAATAGGTAGTACTCCAGTTATATCTTATAATAACAGGCCTCTTGAATATTCTGACATTTATGCTAAAGAGATGATAAATAAGAAAGAATATAGAAGACATGCCTACTTTAGATGGAAAAAGAAGAGATTGAGAGCAAAGTCTAGATCAATTGCTTCTACAAATATAACTGAAAAGCAAACAAGCACCACAATTGTTAATGAGTGTTCCTCAGTTGTTGGTGTTCAGCGTAGTTCTCGATGTCGTTCGAAGCATCACAAATCATCTCTCAAAAAAGCTCAGCCAGGTCTAGAGTTAATACTTTTAAGTTTTCTAATATGTTTTTCTCCACTGCCATTAAAATCAATTGAATGGTTTGATTGCTAAATGCTCTCAAATAATTGTATTTTAGGAAGAAAGTGCAAAACAGGAAGAGCTTTGTTGGATATAATTCCTGACAAAGCTGATATCCTACCAACCCAACTAGATTGTCCTCATTGCGGAGCCAAGAAGTTTTTTTCTGAGACAGCATATTTTTGTTGTCAAGATGGTGAAGTTGTTTTGACTCAAAATAAAATTCCAGATATCTTTAAAGAGTTATTAACTTCATCTTCACAAGAGGCACAATCTTTTAGAACTCTTATTAGAACATATAATAATCATTTTGGATTCACTTCCTTTGGTGTTAAAGCTGATCAGAATTTATCAAAAAGGAATAAAGGAATTTACACTTTTAGAATTCAAGGACAGGTATATCACTTTCTGAATGATTTCAGTTCAAGCAATGGTCATAATAATAACTTGCAGTTATATTTCAATGACTTTGAAACTGAAGTAAACAATCGATTAGCAGCTTGTCCTAGACTATCCGAAACTGTGATTAGGAAAATTATGCAAGTTTTTGAGGCTAACCCATATGCAAAATTCTTTAGAAATTTGAGAGAAATACCTAATTTAGATAACTACTACATTGTGTTAAAAACTCTACCTGGTGTTGATCAAAGAGTCTATAATAGACCAACAACTTCACAAGTTGCAAGCTTGTGGGTTGAGGGGCAAGAAAATGGAGAAACCAGCAGGCGTGATATTAGAGTTCAAACCCATAGTGGCACTTCAAAAAATATACAATACTATTATGGATGTTATGATCCACTCCAATATCCAATACTTTTTCCTTTTGGTGATCTTGGCTGGCACCAAGGAATACCAAAGAAAGGAGCAAAAGTAAATGGAAGAAAGGGGAAAAAAAGGCAACCTGTGGCAGATTTCATTTCCCCTGAAAATGCTGCTACAGTAGAACAACTAATCCAAAATGAAGAACATGGTTAGTATAATAACTATATACCATGATCTTTCATTTTACCTATTTAATATTTATGATTACACATTTAATAATGTACTATTATTTTTTCCACAGCAATGGAAAACATACATGAAGATCCAAATTTTGTGTCCCTTCGAGAATATTATTGTTATAAACTTCAGATTAGGGACAATGATGAATCTTGGCTATTACATTTTGCTCGCCTCCTACAACAATATATTGTTGATCAATATGTGAAGCTTGAGACACAAAGACTTGACTTTTATAGATTACAACAAGAGGAAATTAGGAGAGAGTTCTTGAAAGGCATAATAGATGCTTTAGGATCAGGCGAGAGTCAAGCATCTAATGTTGGCCAACGTATCATATTACCGCCATCATTTATTGGAGGGCCGAGAAATATGAGACGTAAATACATGGATGCAATGACATTAGTACAGAAGTATGGTAAACCAGATATATTTCTGACCATGACTTGCAATCCTAATTGGCCAGAAATAAAAGAACACTTAATAGACAAAGAAGAAGCACAAAACAGACCAGATTTGCTTGCTAGAGTATTTCATGCTAAGTTAGAACAGCTTAAAGATGAACTTCTGAAAAAATGCATCTTTGGTGAAGTGGCAGCTTACACTTATGTCATTGAATACCAAAAATGTGGACTGCCACATGCACACTTCTTGCTAATTTTAAAGTCAAAATTCAAGATGTATACTCCTGAAGAATATGATAAAATTGTCTGTGCTGAGATACCAAATAAAGAGAAAAACGAACATCTATATAATTTGGTTATTAAACATATGCTTCATGGACCATGTGGTTCACTTGATCCAACAAATGTATGCATGAGAAAAAATGGAACTTGCAAGAATAATTTTCCTAAAAATTTTTGTGAGGAAACTATCCAAACTCTTAATGCATATCCTGAATATCGAAGGAGAGATGATGGAGTTCAAATTAAGATCAAATCAGCTCTTTTAGATAACAGATGGGTTGTACCATACAATCCATATCTTTTGGCTAAATTTGATTGCCATCTTAATGTTGAAATATGTTCTACAATTAAGGCGTCAAATACATTTACAAGTATATCTATAAAGGTCATGATAGAACTAACTTTTGTGTAGTAAATAATAAACCTGATTCAGAAATTGATGAAATTAAACAATATGTATCAGCTAGGTGGGTTTCTCCACCTGAGGCAGCATGGAGAATCTTTAGATTTTCTATGAGTGAAATAAAGCCGGCTATTATTCATTTACAATTGCATTTGGAAAATTATCAGCCAATGAGTTTCAAAAAAACAGCTAATCTTCAAAATGTTGTCAATAACTATCATTTGAAAAAAACAATGCTCACTGAATTTTTTTACATGAATAGGACAGATAAAGCAGCTCGGGATCTAAATTGTACTTATGTAGAGTTCCCTGATCATTTTGTCTGGTTACCTAAGCAAAAATACTGGAAATTGAGAGAAAGAGGTGAATCAATAGGGCGAATAATGACTGCTCATCCTTTGAATATTTCTAATGATCAGGGATTTGATTTCTGGCATTTGATTTCCTCGTACAAACTTCATAGTTTTTTCCTGAATTTCTGGCATTTGATTGTACTTGAAACAGGTTGTAATCTCAATTGGGGGGCTCCAGATTTTTTTCCTTCTGATTGAGTTGATGGACGGTGGGCTCAAGACTGCAAAGGGACTGGTAATCTTCCTCTCCTCCCTTTGTCGATTTCTCCCTCCTGTTCTCCTTCATCTCCCTCGCTCCATACCTCAAGTAATTATAGCTGATTTTTTCTATTTTTCTGCCATTTTACCTGATATTTCCTTGGCTAAAAACAATCAATTCTTCCCCCTTCTTTTTTTTGGTCCTTTTCTGAAACAACGAGGAAGTGAAAGGTTAATATTTCATCTCCACTGTCTATATGAATTTGTAGAATACAGATATGGTATTTTTCTTCCCCTTTCTTTCCATGATTAATGTATTTGTTTCATTTTAGTTTTATCATTAAATTTTTATTTTTAGTTTCAACAAAAAACTTTTAATATGGTCGGAGATGGTGAATAATTGATGATTAGCTGGCCTGTAGAGTATTTATTTATTTTATTTTTTGTACCTACTTTGTGTTTTATTGTTCCATTTTTCTTTCCGTTTTTGCCTTTCTAGGATTTCTTCTGCAACAGGGAGGAAAATGGCCACCCGTGAAAGACAATTGCTGAGGGGAAAATCGTAAGCTTTGTTTTATCATTCTAATTTAATTTTTACTTTAAATTGCTCTTTTCAGAGCTCAAATGATGGTATATTTTTCTTTGGCCTTTGCTCTTTTCAAACCTCATTCGAGTTTTCTTTTTTAGTCATTTTTTTTGGTGTCTTTCATGCAGGTGTTTTGTTGATCTCCTGATCAGAAAAGCAATCCATATGGTAACCAAAAAGATTCACTTGTTTAAAATAGATTTCTTCATCGTCAAAATGTCTTTCTATTTGCTCCAGTTCTTCCGATCCCTTTTTCTTCATTGGGTTTTCAACATTTGAAGAATTAATAAATTTCTTCTCTGAGAATCAAGAACTTCCAGGTCACATTGGTCATTGGCCATGAGTTACAAAAGATCGTGTGATGCTATTCTTTTGATTGCTTTGTGTTGAAATTTTTTGTTTTAGTACATAAATTGTCTCTTGGTAAAACCTCTTGAATATTCGTTTTATGAACCTTAAGTGGATATTAAACTGAGTATCTTCAGCAATATATTTTTTTGTTACAATGGCAATCTAAATGGTTTTCCTATTTGTAGGTGGTTAAAGGTTTGTCCAAGATGAGGATTCTCAAATATTACATTCTAAGCACCTGCTTGAAATAATGAGTAAGTTACTGTTTTAATAAAACACCTTAAATTTTCTATTCCTTGATCAAAAAAAGAATTAAATTGCTACATAATTGTAGTTTTGCCTCTTGAATCATAGACTACGATGTTTAATAGCTTGGAAATTCTTATTAGGAAAATCAGTTTTGGTTGACTTAAGTCTATATTTACAAAACATGATGTTCTCTTAGATTTGTAACATTTCAGTAAGATTAAGTCTGGAAAACTGAACCTTATGATAGTTTTTTTACTTGTAAAAATAAACTTAATTGAGGTAAGCCTAAACAGAAAATTTTGTGAGAAACATGAAGATGGTATTCCAATTGATAGGTTCAAAAAGGTGAATATGATGCAGACCTTCAATTTATGTTGAAGTTTTTTATGCAGGAAAGAACTTAAAGGAAGGGCATGTTACTTTTGAAGAAAATTTGGTAGAACTCCTAATTTGTTTTAACTGGATGGATAATTTGTACTAAACAAACAAACTATCATATAAAAACATATCTTAAATGTTTAAAGATAAACATTATAAATTTAAAAATGAAGCATTACAATCTGGTCTTCTTAATACATTTGTTAAAATCATATCTTTATACCATCTAAAATCTGATAATGTTGGACATCTTAAATTTGTTAAAAATGTTTTATTAGAATTTAATTCTTCTTTTGGATTTCCTATGAAATACATAACTATTGTTACAATTAGAAATTCTGCAGCATCTGATTGTATTTGAATATTTCCTTGATCATCTTCTAATTCTTGTGTATGATCTAATATTGATAATTTATCTTGTAATGTTAAAGCATTATCCCACCAATTCTTTAATTGTCCAGTAAATCCTGAAACTAATAATGTTGCAATATTTCTTTCTTGAATATTTTTAATCTTATAGGCTAATCTTGCCATTCCCATTTCTTGCAAATTATTTAATAATTCATATTCAGCTTTGCCATCTATATTCCATTCATATATTGAATCTCCATCATATTTAAACATTCTAAATATAGAACGGGATATTAATTTTTAGTACTCCACAAATAAATGTTCAAACTAATTTATATAAAAAATGGAAATTAAAAGACGATCAAATCTTAACATCAATACACCCTCCATTACAAGAAGTAAAAATTAATATAGGAAAAGGAGAAGTAATAGCCTCACCTTTTAAAAAGGGAAGAGAAGCAGAATCAAGTGCAAATAATTCAATAAATCTGGAAGATCTTAAAAAAGTTTATCAACAAAATAATTATACCAATCAAATTCTTCATACAATATCTCAACATATGGAAGTATTAAATACAAAAATTGATACACTAAAGAAACCAGATTTAAAATTCCCAAATGATATATCAGCACCTCATTTTCAACCTAGAAGTCTGACAAGAGAAAAAGAACAAGATTTAGTACAAAGTATTAGCAATCAAAAAATAAGTAATACAGATAATTTATTAAATAAAATATCTAATGCCTTACAAAATCTAACTACAGATTCAAAACCATCAACACCCAAAATAAACACTTTAGATCAAATAATAGAAGAAAACTCTATGGAAGAATTAGAAGATTTATCAGAAGAATCAATAAATTCAGATATAGAAGAAAATATACTTTTACCAATAGAAAATCAATTTGAAGAAGAAGATAATCAAATAAATAGAATAAAAAGGAAGAACTATAGTAACAATAAAAATTGGAAAATGGTAAGTTCAAAGAATTATTATCCAAGACCAAGTCCTCCTGACATTCAATATGAAGAAAGATCAAAATTTAGAACTACTAAATATGATGGAGATTCAATATATGAATGGAATATAGATGGCAAAGCTGAATATGAAGTATTAAATAATTTGCAAGAAATGGGAATGGCAAGATTAGCCTATAAGATTAAAAATATTCAAGAAAGAAATATTGCAACATTATTAGTTTCAGGATTTACTGGACAATTAAAGAATTGGTGGGATAATGCTTTAACATTACAAGATAAATTATCAATATTAGATCATACACAAGAATTAGAAGATGATCAAGGAAATATTCAAATACAATCAGATGCTGCAGAATTTCTAATTGTAACAATAGTTATGTATTTCATAGGAAATCCAAAAGAAGAATTAAATTCTAATAAAACATTTTTAACAAATTTAAGATGTCCAACATTATCAGATTTTAGATGGTATAAAGATATGTTTTTAACAAATGTATTAAGAAGACCAGATTGTAATGCTTCATTTTGGAAAGAAAGATTCATAACGGGATTACCAAGTTTATTTTCACAAAGAATAATGGATAATTTACAAAAAGAAATGGGAACAGATGTAATTTCATTCGAAAATATTACTTTTGGACAATTATTTGCTTTTGTGAAAAAAGAAGGATTAATATTATGTTCAGAATTAAGATTACAAATAAAATATGGATCTAAAACAAAAGAAGTAGGATCATTCTGTGATGCATTTGGAATCCAAAGAATCAAATCACCATCAGCATACAGAAAGAAAGTTAAAAAATATTCCAAGAAAATTAGGTATAAAAAGCCTAAGGAAAATGAACCAACTAAAAAGAGAAGATTTATTAAAAAACAAATAGTTTGTTATAAATGTGGAAAAATAGGACATAAAGCAAACAAATGTAGATTAAAAGAAAAAATTACAGAAATTTGTTCTAAAGAAGAAGAAATTAAAAATAAACTATTAAACTTATTAATAAATGAAAAAGAACAAAGTACAGAAGATGATTATTACAATGATATTTCTAGTTCAGAAAGTGAAGAAAATTGCAATTGCACTCCAAAATATATAAATGTAATAACTAAAAAAGAAGATAAAGAATTTTTACTAGATATAATAGAAAAAATTGATGATCCAATAGCTAAAAAAGAATATTTAGAAAGACTAAAAAGTTTAATTATTCAAGAAGATAAAATGCCAAAAATAATAGAACCTTTTAGTATATCAAAATTAATAGATAAATATCCAAACATTAATATAATGAAAAAAGAAACTACTAAAGATCTTCAATCAGAAATTAATAATCTCAAAATACAAGTAAAACAATTACAACAAGAAATCATAGAATTAAAATTAAAAGATTTAGAGATAGAATCAAAATTAGAATTAATAAATAATCAGCCCTCAACTTCTAATTCTAAAACAGAAGAAATATTAATATCAGAAAAATTAGTAGAAGAATCTCAATATTTGAATACTATTGAAAGAATAACATTTCAAAAATGGTTTGTTTTAGTAACAATTACAGTAGAAGATTTCAAAGAAACATTTGTAGCTCTAATAGATAGTGGAGCTGATACAAGTTGTATTAAAGAAGGAATAATCCCTACAAAATATTGTGAAAGAACAAATGAAAAATTAATGGCAGCAAATGGCGAAGATTTAAAAGTAACTTATAAATTTACAAAAGGATCAATATGTAACAATGAATATTGTATTAGACATAATTTCATAATTGTAAAGAATATACATCATGATGTAATATTAGGAACACCCTTTTTAATTCAAATATATCCATTTTTAGTAAGTAATGAAGGAATTTCAGTAAATATAATGGGAAAAATTGTTATCTTTAAATTCTTAACTCCAATTAAACAAAAAGAATTACATACCTTACAAACATCTTCAATATATAAAACAATAAACAGTATTACCAAAGTACAACAACAAATAAGCTATATTAAAGAAGAAAAATCTTATCTAAAAATTGAAGAACAATTAAATGATATCAAAATACAAAAAAGAATATCCGAATTAGAAAAATTATTACAAAAAGAAATTTGTGCAGATATTCCTAATGCTTTTTGGGATAGAAAACAACATATGATAGAATTACCCTATGAAAAAGACTTTGATGAAAAGAATATTCCAACAAAAGCCAGACCAATACAAATGAATTCTGAATTACTAGAATTTTGTAAAAAGGAAATAAAAATATTACTAGATAAAGGATTAATAACTCCTTCAAAATCACCTTGGAGCTGTGCTGCATTTTATGTAATGAATCAAGCTGAAAAAGAACGAGGAGTTCCAAGATTAGTAATAAATTATAAACCTTTAAATAAAGTTTTACAATGGATTAGATATCCTATTCCAAATAAAAAAGATTTGCTTAATCGATTATTTAATGCAAAAATATTCTCAAAGTTTGATATGAAATCAGGATATTGGCAAATAATAATAAACCCAAAAGATAGATACAAAACAGCATTTACAACACCTTTTGGACATTATGAATGGAAAGTTATGCCATTTGGATTAAAAAATGCACCATCAGAATTTCAAAATATAATGAATGATATTTTCAATCCTTACAGTTCATTCAGTATAGTCTATATAGATGATGTATTAATATTTTCAGAATCAATAGAACAACATTTTAAACATTTAAGTATATTTTCAAAGATAATTAAGAAAAATGGACTAGTTGTTTCTGCTCCAAAAATGAAATTATTTCAAACAAAAATAAGATTTTTAGGACATAATATATATCAAGGAACAATAAAACCAATTAATAGAGCTTTAGAATTTGCTACTAAATTTCCAAATGAAATAAAAGATAAAAATCAATTACAAAGATTTTTAGGATGCTTAAATTACATAGCAGATTTCTTTCCCAAATTAAGACAAGAATGTTCTATATTATTTAATAGACTAAAGAAAAATCCAAAACCTTGGACAGAAGAACATACTCAAAAAATAAAATATTTAAAAGAGAAAATAGAGTCATTACCATGTTTATGTTTACCTCATCCTAAAGCATTCATGATAGTCGAAACTGATGCATCAGAATTAGGATACGGTGGAATATTAAAACAAAAAATAGATAATTCAAAAGAAGAATTAGTTAGATTTCATTCAGGAACACAGCATTGACTATCCATAGCTACACTCATGAAATATTCACTCACAAATGAAAAATTTACAATGAATTTCACACCACGAATACTACAAATCTTCTTTGGAGAGTGTTTTTTCACTAAAACTATTCTAAATCTTTTGTATCTTCAGTGTGCAAAAATTATTTGAAAATTCGGACCATACTCTATTTATAGGAGACCAACAAAGT